CAATGAAGTCAACAGGGAGAAAGCTATGAAGTTTCTTACCAAACATAACCCCTCAACCGCACAATTCCATTTTGATGAGAAAAATTTGATCTATCAACCAAGTTTATTTGGTGGCACATGCAAAGAGTGTGGATGGTCCCTAAATAAAAGTTCCATGCCATTTCTCCTCTAGGCTATATAGACTGGTCATAATCCTGTCACTGGTCATAATCCTGTTAATCCTCATGTTTCGCAAAATTAGAAATGAACTTTATAATGAAAACATTAGTGTAATATTTGATCCTGTAAAAAAGAATTTGCATAACTATCTCAGACATTTTAACTTCCTATTGCTATCATTTTTAATATGGGAAAAAGCTTTTCAAAACCGTGCTTGAAATATCTTATTTTCATTTACAGTTCTTGTGATATCATTGGAAATAACTTTCTTCATTTGTGGTCTGCTGTTTGCCCTGGTTGTGGAAGAATGGGTTTGGGATTATGCTGTAACAGTTACTGTTATTCATATCATCATAACTTCAGTCGGTAAGTCAGTTTACTGCTAAATATATGCATAGTATCACAAATTGAAGGACCAATCAACTATGATTCATCTAGTGTATTACTGGGCTAACTTAATCATTTTTCCGTAAAGCTAAATAAATATATATCTCTATTTTCCATCCATTTGACTCATGCACATATTTAAATCCTGCCATTTAAAACTCAATTTTGGTTTTGTTGCAGAATTTTAAAACACTATTTTCTTATAAAAAAAAAAATCAGAGTTTTAGTTCATAATCTAACAGTTGATATCCAACAGATCCAGCCTATGTACAATTTCACCACCTGGGAGGTATGTTTTCCTCTAAAACAAGAAATTAATTGTTGTCCATGTCCTGACACTTCAAGATCTACTCATTAACACTTCAGCTCTAGTTCAGAGTAAAAATGAGGCTTGCTTCAGCAAAGCCAATTCAAAGTTTTTAAGTTAGATCATTTGAACTAAATCTCATTGAGGAAAATAAAGAATTTTACCATCGAAGCATCTTTTTTTTTCCCTGAAACTCTTCCCCTCAAAGGAAAGAAAAGGGAAAGAATTGGCTGCTGTAAATGAGACTCATCATCACTTTTTGCCAGTCCCTGGTAACCTGCTCCCTCTTCTCATGCTGTTTAGCAGAATGCTGCTATGGCTGATTAGGAAATATATTTTAACCCCATCCTTGCCAGAGCCCATTTGGGGATTCTTTTCTCCTATAAAAATGAGCTTAGTATTTTTATTCTAGAATTTAGAAATAGGAAAAATATCACTGACAAATTAGGACTCCCTCCCTACTACATAATAATTCATCTTCCATTTTCCAGTGCTTTGTCCATTTGTCTTTTAGCACTGTATATGGACAGGGATTCCCCGGTTCCCATGACAAGTTAAGCCAGAGACCAACAGAGACTTCATCTTAAAAAAATTAAGCAGAATTTCTCATCTACTGAATTTGATTTCCTGAAATTTAAACTACCGTTATTCCTTATGAATAACTTTTGCATTGAAATCAAGGAATTTACAAAAGCTACAACAAAAACTGCTTTGTATATAATCTATCCAGGAAGGTGTCTTCTATCGTTATATTAGATGATGCATTTTGACGTCCAAACAACCCCAGCTTTATTATTGTTTCGTTCAGATGGCCATCCAAAGCTCTGTTGGCTGACTCTGAGCTGCCAGCATATGTGATGTGCTTCCCAGTTCACTTTACTACTGTCAGCTTTTTTTTGGGGGGGGCAATATTGGGTCTATAACTGCCCTGCAGTTGATCATACAGTGGGGATGTGGCTCAGCCTGCGTGAGGCAAGGGCAAGTACCTGACACCACAGAGGAGAGCGTGCTGTGCAGCAGTGCTAACTTGCAGTGCGCAGACCCAGCCTGTCTTTCATCCACTGCATCACCCATTAAGCTGAAAATGTCAGGCAGCTTAATTTATTTGGATTGCAGCAGTATGCAGGCACTCTACCAGGGGATCGGTGTCTCTGTTGTGCTAAACCACGTACAGGTAAGTAATAAAAAAAGGCATTTCTTCCGCAGAGAGTCTAAGAGCTCCGTTTAGCACACACTTATTAGGTTTAAGACTTGCCTTCCAGTGGGATCGCTCACCAGGCTAAGCTTAATGGTATGGCTAAATATCTGAATGATCCGGACCTAAATTTGCATTTGTAATTTCAATAAATGTGAAGTGTATTATTTATGAAACATAACTAAGCAGATCTTTGAGAACATAATGTAATGATTGCATGCCCCCATCCTTATTGTTTAAAACTTGACATTTCTCCTTTTCTTCTTCTTGCAGTTATGTCTGAATTCCCCCTGATGTTACACTGGTGGCTGGCATTAGGTATAATTACATTCTTTAAAGTTTAAATTGTTAGACTCTGTGTATAAAATTAGTATTTACAGTATGAGTTGCTTCTATTAAATGTCTGTTGTCTCACTAATTTGAGAATTGTCAACATTTAAAGAAGAAATGTATCTTTTTCATTTATACTTCTTTTAATGACGCAGGCAAGTAACGCTAGGCTAACATTTTGCCTTGCCTTTAAAAATCTTCTGTTTTAAGACCTGAATGTACTCAGCTTACGTTAATCTTGCTAACAAATAGCAGCTACTCTCACGTTCTTGAAATAAACCATGATTAAGTCCTGACTAATCAAACTATCTCACTTAATTCAGGTGTCAAAAAGACAGTTGTCCAAACTAGTCCTCCTTGGTACCCTTTATAATCAATGGAAAGAAACAGGCACTTTCAGAGGCAATTTTTATAAACACTATGCACAGGTACTTACGATAGATGAGATAAATCCCAGCCATCGCATTTCCTTAGAGTGAATGGCAAACCTACATTTCTGAATGTTTCATTTTCTGTAAAATTAAAAGCATAGCTTTGTACTACCATTAAATACAGTTTTGATTATATTTCTAATATTATCTTCAAAAATAGTTAAGGGAAAAGGACTGGCTTCTGTTCTTCTTTCTTGTATGATGGATAACAAGGATCGACAGCTGCAGTAAATTCCTAAATGATGGGGACAGGCAAATAAATTCCCTGTCTTGCAACTGGTTTTGCATCAGCAGCTGCTAAGGCTGATGTCTTTGTAGGTGGTTAAAGCCTTGGGTAAAATGTTTAAGTAGACAGGCCATTTAAAAAAAAAAAAAAAACCAAAACCCACCAAGATAAAAAGAATGTCTATTTAAAGTTTTATCATAACATTTATATTCCACTATAAAAATTAATCTAAACCAGTCATATATTTTCTTTCAGGATCTGGAGTAATTTCAATGATTTGTGGAGGACAGATTTTGGCATACTGCTTGTTCAAAAACAACTTCATTTACCCAATTCTAGATGATTTTTGAAAAGGAAAATTAAAACTTGCCTTTATATTTATATACATTCTATGGTTTCATTAACAACATAATTGAAATGAAGTTAGCAACCGTCTAATTGTATGGCTAATATTTAGTTACCAGATTTCTTGTATCTTACATTTGGTTGCAATGTCAATGTCATCACTTTTAGCTATTGTATGTAATCACTTTTAGCTTTTGTATGTACATTTGCCATCAAGCAAATAATTAGATACACTGTCTCTTTTTAAAAAAAAACAAATAAACCATAAGGAGGCTAAGAGCAATGATGCAGCACTCTTGCAAAGTCCTAAAAGGAAAAAACAGATTTGAATTTCATGTTTTCAGGGTGCTTGTTATCTATTGTATTTTATGAAATGCTGACTCTAATTTAGGCTGGAGTCTGGCCTCTCACAAGTGCTGCAAAACTTTAAAGTCACCCTATCTGTCACAAATTGCTGTAGGTTTAAAGCAGTCTTTACCGGCAACCCCCTGGCAAAGGAGAATCTGTGAACAGCACATAGCTCTGCGTCTCTTTCCGTCTCAAAGCTCTCACCTAGAAGCTGCCCAAGACAAGAGCAGGCAGACATACAACCCCTGATGTTTGGTTGACCCCCTTGCTTCCAGGGATGATACAGACAAATGTTTTCTACAATAGCTCCAGGCTATTCTGTCTTTCACTAATGATCCATTCATGGTCTGGCTGTGCTGGAAGGAGGAAAAGCAAATGCTACCTACAGCCACTTTTTGCATATCCCTTTCTCTCTCCCACAGCTGCAAGTGGCCAATGCCAAAGTGAGGGTTTATGGGTAGTGGTAATTAAAAAAAAAATCAAACCAACCACAGTAGTGACTTCAAGTAACTCTTTATCTCGTTAACCATAATAAAGTTGTAACAGGAAAATTGCTGGAAGGCAACTTCATTTTAAATATGATACTAGTGATTGGATTTCAACTGCAGTTTGCTTAGAAGAGCAAGACTGGATTGCTGTTTGCACAGGAGTGCTAAATGTTGCATTTGCCTTAATCTTACTCAACAGATAATGCCTCTGAAGAATCTGTCCCCTGTTGATCTAATCAAACATCTTAAAATTTATCGCAAGTTTTACGGTTTTCAATTAAGTTTCAATTAAGTTTCAATACTGAAAGTACACATACATTGAGAAGCACGTTTCAGAAGACTCCCAAAAGAATGAGTTTGTTTCTCATGAATGATAGATATGTAAGTCATTTTAGAGACGAACCAGGTATGTAAATCCATAGCATTGAAACGACTTAGACTTTACAAGTTGTTTGCCGTAATACACTGCATACTGAAGTCACCAGAGATAATTCTGGTGAGTGAATTAACTGACCTGTAGTGATCACTGGTCTGAACCATGGACCATTTTTAGTTTGATGGATTTTATCTCCATAAACATTAGTGTGCAGATAACCAACTGGTATTACGTGTTTGAAAGATGTTTGCACATTTCTTCCAGATTTGTTTCCCTTCAGAACTATAAAAATGGATGGGAAGGATGTGCTGTCTAATGTAATTCCATACCTCTGTCCTCGTCTGTACGCAGTTTGTGTGTGTAGGTAGCGTGCCACGTGGCAGAACATGAGTGGATTAGATATAAAGTTAATCCATGGGTAGAACAAGTTGCTATTTTTAACTTGGCAGGATTTTCCTCTATGCGTGTCAGGCCCAGCTGCAGCTTGAAGTAGCTCTGTTGCCCAGGGTTGACACTTTTAACTTTTGTTTTCTATTTAAAAATTTAAATCACCAGCAAGAGATACCTTCAGACTAATATGAGGAGTGCTTTAGCCCCAGGATTTCTCCAAAGCACGTACAGCTAGGCCACTGCTAGAAAAACAATCACAGCAAGAACTCTATTGAGGATTAAAAGCCTTAGCCCAGCTATTAAAGAGTCATTAGCTTTTTGCATTACTTTCAGATATGGAATGATGAGACAATTTCAGCATTATTTATTTAATCTTTTCTGTTCCTTTTATATTGAGCACCCATGACAAATATTACACATAATGTTTAAAGTGTAGACGAAGTTCCTATTATACAAATAAATTTTCATTATGTAAGCAATATGAACTATATCTGTGTGGGCATTACCTGGTTAGAAGCCTTCAGAGGTTACACCTAATACTATGTGATTTCTATTTGATACACCACAATGGTACTTTGGAATATGAGAAACCTGGCTATTTCCAGAAACATAAAAAAATGATCCACCTGAGCAACTTGCATGGGACTAATGGGTAACAGTCAAGACAAGTGGGAAAGAAGAGCTGCTGGAGGAAAAGAAGGGCATTGTGTATGTTTCACAACAGACTTGCCAAAGACTATGAGAAAAGACCACTACAGAAAGCAGAAGGAAAACAGGGAAAACAGCAACTGGGATGTGTGTTTGGAAAAAGGCACAATAAAAGCAAGAAATGAGAAAATGAAACAGACAAGATCAGTGAAAGAAGAAAAAATCTGCAGACTGAACTTTTAGCACTGGAGTCTCACAACATGAGACTTGCATGCCATTTGTATGCCGCAATCTGGTTTTCTGCTCATGTATACATGACTCTAGGAAAGGTGTCCATAGTTCTGACTATAATCTGTGATGTTATGCCTGCAGCTCCTGCCCCAGGATTTTCAGAATTCTTTGCTCTCTGACTCAGCCAGGCACAGGAATATTGTCTAATTTAGTTGTTGTGGGCTTGGTGTTATTTAAGCCCTTGTGATACAGTTTAGTAGTCATGAGTTTGCACAGGTATCGGTGGGGGTGTTGACAGTCTAGAAAACATTACAAGCAGATGGAGACTTTATCCACTTCCAGGCAGAGTTTGCAGGGAAGAAGGTTAGAAGTTGCAAACATTAGGTACAGAAATCAATGGAACGGCACACAAATGATGTAGCTTAATAATGCCATCCTTAGAGTAATTTTAAGATCTTTTTTCAGAGGCAAGAAACTCCTTTTCATCATATACAACCACCTACTGAGAGAAACTGTAGTTTTCCTCAGTTCAGCCCTCTCTCTAAATGGCTGTGCATTCATTCTTTTTCCAAATGGTGAAGTGTCTTACTTGTCACAAAGAACGTGAGTGAAATTCGTTTCTTTGGAGACTTCAAGCATACATTCCTAGGCTAACAGCACTGCCTTCAATGTAATGTCCAAGTGTAAATCAATTCAAAAAGTTGTTCTGGGACCAACAAAGTAACTCAAACATGTAAAAACAGCCAAATATCAAACTACAGAGTAGTTTGATACACAGACAATGTAATGATTTTTAGTTGGCATTTTCAGAAAAATATAGATTTAAATACTTATAATTTCCTAGTGAAGTAAAGAGCTAGTTATTCAAACTAAGCCTGACATATTTCTGCCTCTGTAAATTGCTCGATCAACATTTCCAGCTCTTTTGTATCCAAACGTAAAGCAAGCAAAACAAAACCCTACAGTACTCATTACTTCTGTATTCCTAAAAATACCAACCACTGCTGCACCAATAAATATAGAAAACACAGTATGAATAATACTAGATCACCAGCAATGGGTAGATGAGTCACCTGACTGCAGTCTCCTACATTGGTTATTCACGCACAGGATTCCTGTGGCCCATACTCTCTTGACTAGAAATACCCATCGTGACCGAGTGAGCTTTATTAAACTGAGAAAAGATGTGAAAGCCTTACACATTCTTCATTCCATCATCTGGTGTGTATGTTGTCACACCATAAAGTTAGATCCTTGTTAATCTCCCCAGGTATTTAAAGCTTTATTTAAATGTTTTGTATCTTCCAAATGTGACTTACGTAGAATATTTATTTCTTGGCTTAAGGTCCTGTGTAATGATCCATCTGCTCAGTAATGGCTAATACTCTAATCTCTCCTTTTTGTGAGCTAATCACGGCCCCAGACAGCATGCACTCTCTCATTAGATGTCAGAGAGGATAAAGGTCTTAGGGATGGTTATAAAATTTGATGATGTAATTAATACCTTTACTATTGGTTTTAAACATTTTAGCGTGAAGCTATGATTTTAAGATGCAGACCTGTGTTCCAACCTCTCCTCTGCTCAGGGAGAATGATATGGATCCCTTTAGAGTCCCTCTTCAGATGTACCAGCATAAGTATGCCTATGTTGTAGGGCAGGCATGCTCTGTGATGGACTTACTTCCTACTCCATCCATTCTCCTGCTCAGGGGACCAAATGAATACCTTGCAGTGATCTCCCAGTTCATACACTCAGGTTTCCTCTGCCAGCAAGGGTGAAAGAAGGGAAAGATGCGTGCTTGGATGTCATCCTGACATGTAGTTGTAGCATGGCATTGGCTTGGACTGGGGATTTGAGAAGCAACACCAGGACACCAACTATGGACAACCAAAATCTGAGGAAAGGCCTCGGCCCCAATCTTTTAAGCTTGCCTACCCCTAGAAAACAGTTGCAATAAAATATAAGGATGATGGTTAAAACTGGAGCCTGTAAGAAATATGCAAGGTATTTTCAGTCTCTTGCTGTCATTGTCCTAAATCAAAGATAGTCACAGCCTTGCCATTACTGTTGGGTATTTTCCAATGAAAATAAATCCTAATACAACATTATTTGCTGTGGATTTGCAAAATGATTTGTAAACAAAGGGTCTACTCCTGCTTCCAACAGCAAAGATCCTGTTATCTCTATTGGAGCAATACTCTATCAAAGGACCACTTACATGTACCCAGACCCTCTCTCAGAGTGACCTCGTCACCAGCAGCAAAAGGAGAAGTGTTTAAATAAAACATAAGTGATGGCAAAATGTTCAAATACATTAAGAATTACCAATTTCCTAGCAGTCTTCAGACACCTTTGCACTGAAATCACATCTACATCAGTAGCTTTTGAAATACACTGAAAAAGTGCTTCGATTCACTTCATAAACCTTGATGGGGGTCTGCACAAAGATGTACCTTTAAAAAGGACAAAAAAGATCAATGTGTTTGATATCTCATATGGTATTAACTGAAAAAAATTGTAGAT